TGATCTAAAAGAAATGAAAAGAAAATATAGCTGCACTACGAAACACGAAATTCATAACTTTTTGTTAGCACAGTCTGAAGATGATCTGACTAGATTTTTGTGAAAATCAGACAAATGGTCTGGAAGAGTTCAAAAAAGTAGGTTTTCAACATAAAATGGTGGACAGGGAGTTCAGCCGACTATGGTAAAATTGGTATCTATGTTCTTGGCAAGGGCCAAGTTTCATTACAATAGGCTAACATACTCAAAAGTTATTAGCATTTTTGTAAATTTCATTATAACTTTTGACCACAAGGTGGCGCTGCTCCGAAACGTTTTGCGTACCATCAGGGCATGGTGCCAAAGACCCATACTGAGTTTCGTAATGATATGACAACGCGTTCATAAAATATAGCATTTTACGACAACATTCAAAATGGCCGACGCCCAAAATGGCTGACATGGGAAGTTATAAGCAAAAAGAGGCATTTTTAATATCTCCTGACCACTAGGTGGCGATGCGCCAAAACTGTGCAGGTAGCCTCAGGTCATGGTTCTTATAACACACACCAAGTTTGGTCTCAATGCACTAAAGCGATGTGGAGATATAGCCTGACATCAATTTTGGCATGCTCTTCGTCAAATTCGTTCGCGTGTTATTCGAGAACTGTTTGACTAATCACCTTGAATTCCATAAGTTTTTGCCAGCATGGTCTGAAAATGATCTGAGTCAATTTTGGTGAAAATCAGACGAACTGTCTAGGACGACTTCGAAAAAGTAGGTTTTTCAAACTATTAAAAATTGCTAAAAATCTTGACCCGTAGAATCTAACATTTTAGTGTGCATTCGATTCTGCATGAGCCAAGGAATCAGACGAAAAAAATAATTTTTAATCTAAACTTTACGGTTCAAAAGTTATTAGCATAAATAGAAGTGCAACTTTGGCCAGTTGGTGGTGCTAAAGGTATTGAGTTAGAGACTTCAAACTTGCTATGGTAACAGATCAGACTGTCCTCTATCTGTATGCCAAATTTCATAACTTTCCCGCAAGTGGTTCTAGGGGCTGCCATAGACTTCCAGAGCGGAAGAAGAAGAATACAAACGGATTAAATAGGTGCCATTACACTTTCAGTGCTTGGCCCCTAAATATGCATTACTTCCAATCTTTTGTCTGCTTAAACCCTGCCACCACTAAATAAAAAAACAAAATAAAATAAATGAATTTTAAGTGAATGAAAAATAAATAAATTTTTAAATAATATTATTAAATTATTTAATATTATTAAAGTCAGCATGAAATGAAAATTCAGCCTATCACCCTAAATTCACTGTACATGTTGTTATAGATATTATAGATCTTATTGTGAACAATTCATTCATGTTTATTTTTTATTCTATTCTATTCTATTCATACCTAGAACATCTAGTGAAAATGTTTGTTCATCTGCCTACATTTTGGAGTATAACGTCCAATCAACATCTGATGCATATAGTACCAAGTCCCTGCCCTACTTTTTTTTTTTTTTAAATAATCATTTGCATTCGAAAAAATATAATATGTGTACATCCAGAAACTGTAGACAGGCGCTCAATCAAATGAAGCACTTCACTATAAGTAAACAAGAATCAGCACACTGCCACTGCTGCTCCCAAAGATCAATTTATTAAAAAATAATTTCATACATTTTTAATAAATTGATCTTTGGGAGAAGCAGTATGCCGATTCTTGTTTACTTACAATAATCCTTTGCACTCATTTGTACGTCACAACTTTCGTTTCATTGCAACATTAAATAAAATTATCTTTAAAGGGTCTCCCTCTGTTGAAATCTCAGTGGCCACAGGGCCCCCCTAAAAGATGCAGTCACCAGATACTTTTGGCCATAAAGAGTATTTCAAAACCACTGAAGCAGATAATTTCCTTCATGGACCAAATTATTTCTCAAGATCTTGAAGAGGACATCATCAGCACATTTATTATCACGAAGGGCACAGAAATCAGTGTGCTTCCTGCACCAGCCCATTAAATTCAGTCTCTCTCGTCAATGTGATTTTACACTTTTATCATGAGGTACTCTTAACTGATTAGTCACCGTCTGCTTTGGGCCGCACTGGTTCACTGCAACAGGAACATGAACCATATTACAGGTCCTGCATCACTTGTGTCTAATCAATGACCTGTACAGCTTCATTACTCTCACGAACTACCAGTGACCTTCCTCTGTTATACTGCTTTTATTTACCTTCTCACTAGAACCTGTAGCACTGAGTCTGTTCTGACTTTATTTTCTCAAGAACATGTGCTCAAACCTCTTCTCATCTTTTCAATTCTGTATGCATTGTACACAGTCTGTGTGTAGTTGCATTTGCTGAAGGCATTTTACAAGTTCTGATTAAACAAAACAAATTACTAAAGCACTTCAACATACCCACCAGTAAAATAACTCTTGTTCTGGACTGTTACATTATTTCGCCATATAGAAAGATAGAGCACATTCAGCTACCAGACAGGATTTTATGTGGTTGCTTTCATTAAAATTCATCACTCGTGACTCCAGAACTTGACTAGTCATTCGCAAAGATTTGTTTGTGTTGAAAGGGTAGCTCATGCTTCACAGTGTTTGGGAAAATATGTATAACAGCATTGTTGTGATGATGTTCATGGGTTTTCTGGGTGCTAGCAAGGACACACAATATGAATACAGGAAGCAGAGAAACACAAAAACACATAATGCAATAGAGTCCAACAATAAGATTACAGAAGTATAAATCAAATTCACTTTCTTCATAGAGAAATTGATTTTTAACAATAAAAATAACACGCAAAGCTTTCAAAACAGACTTACCGTGAGCTCCAAGAATGTCAAGTGAATGTAGAAGTCAATTCATTTAATTTTCCTTGAAAATACAGTGAATATGCTTCCCACAATCCAGTCTGCCTTCACATTCAAACTACTTATATATTTGTATTTAACTGATTATTTTGCAATAAACTTAGAATATTTACACTTCTACTCAATGACTGTAATCAGTTATTTTATATTGTACCATAGTTTTGGATTGATTACCCTAGTTCATTCCCTCATAAAAGAACAGTCTTGTGCATGCTCTTATTTTATCTTATTTTATTTTATTTTATTTTATTATTTTATTTTATTTTAATGTGTCCTATGTAGGGTCATGGGTTTAATTAATTTTATTATTTTTTAAATGCCATTTAGTTTTTTTCTTTTTCTTTTTATATCACTCTGGTGAAAAATACTATCTAAATCAAGGCCACTAGAAAAAGTGCAGTCACTGTTGTGCTCAGTAAGGAGAACAGGAGAACCTGGGAAGGTGTTTTTAAATCCTTTGAGGATGGGTCTTTGTGTATTTTGTCCATTGGGTCAATATCTGCCCTGCTCAGTATCTGCTACAGTAAGTTACAAACTTCCAAATGCAAGCACTCAAACAAGCACTGTACCTCAGTGCCTCAGTGTGGAGCAGCATTTAATTCTCAAATAAGACATGAACACATTGTCGAGGCAACATATAGTCTTCAATTAATTTTGTCAATGTCAAAACATTTTTAATTTTAACCAACAATCTGTGATGGCGACATTTGGTAGGCACAGTGTGATTACTGAACATCTGCTGAAACCTTATAATAATTTATTAATTTAAGGTCAAATGTATCGCACGTCCGCCCATAGATTGAGTCTGTTGTGATTTATCGGGGCAGTAAGAGACACTTAAGGAAGGGAGGGAGGGGGGAGAGAAGATCATTTTGGGGAGAGCAGCTGACTCATTTGCATTCAGTCCGTCTCACTTAAACAAGCCACAGGAGAGAGAGTCAAATGACAGAATGAAGACGGCTGTCTGCCCACCTTTGGTCACCCACAGCAACGGAAACCTTTTTTTTATTGCAGTCACATACAGTACAGTCACATGTCACTCATGGGATTGAAATGAGAAACCTTCAGACAGAGATGAAGTGATTATGTTGATGCTTTTGTTCAGGGTGGAGGTTGAATATGTGCCCCTCTTCCTGAAAATATCGTTGACGTTTTAACCCTCAAAGCCTGTCATATAAAATAATAGTCTTGATTTTTTATTTTTATTTTTTTTTTTAATGGAGCAGTTTATTGAACCGTATAAGAACCTTGAATGCAAAAGAAAATCTAAATAGAAAAAAAAAAATCATATGTTTTATGTTTTGTATCATATCTGATAGGATTTTATAGTAGTAATATTGTGAGAATATGGAGCTCACGCGAGAGAAGGAACAAAATGTCCCACGTTTATTCAGAGGCCCAAACTGAGCAAAAATATCTAATTTTGTGCAGATCGTATTAATATATTGCAATTCTGATAGCTTGCAATGAAACTCGATGAGATTTTTATATCAGACTACTTACACCAATTTCTAAATATCAGTTGCTACTCTACATCTCCCAATAAGATGTCTTAGTAAGATGCTTACTACTATTTTGCTTAGTTTTATGATCAGATTGCTGTAATTTTCATAGTGGGGGCAAAACATATAATGCAGTGCAATACAAAGTGAATTGAGAGACAGCCTGTTGCTTTTGAATATATATATATATATATATATATATAGCCACCATCTTGCTTACATTGACACCCACTTTGCACTACACAATAACTGCCTTATTTTACTAATTTCCCTTCTAATCTTTAAAACGGTTCGACTATATAATAATATTGTAATCGTGTTTAAAGTGTATCACTGGGGTTTACCTGGTGTACAAATAAGAAAGTAATTCATAAGGAAATAGCGCCCTCGTGTGCAAGCTCAATAATCGTGGCGACAAACAAAATAAAAGTCCCGTTTCACCACCCCAGTATTTCCTCAAAGCTACCTGTAATATAACCGCGTCTGATTTGTCAGTGTAGTATTAAGTAACATTCTTATTTGAATATTACATATGTTAAAAATAAATATAGTTTTTATTATTATTATAATTCCTTAACCCTCTTTAAATGACGTACTGAATTTTGCAAAGCTACTAGGAAGCAATCCTGGCCTGCTGACGTCACTTCCTGATGAAAGACTGATTCTAAGATTCAGCAGGTACGAGTGTATTATTCTTATTACAGGTAATTGCATTTTTATCTACCAGTTAAGCATTCAAATTACTACAATAGAGAATTATCCCAGGCGTCTCTATTTGTAGACGGCTAAATCTGTAGCACACGATACAGTACGCGAATTTTCCTAATAAACATGATTCAGCCGAAAACCGTAGCCGTCTTCCAATTAACTTCCTCTAAAATAAATCCAGCACGCTACAACTGCTGTGATTAGCGGAAGTGTTTTGCTAGTTAAAATGCATCGTATAGATGAGTGTAAGCTAATTTAGAAGGCTTCTGCTTCTAACAGCCAATTACTGCATCTATTAAATGATAACGTGTACTTTTGTGTGCAGAACATACGCATGCGCGGAGATGAGCACTGTTTTGTGGTCGAGATTAATTTCCTTCATGTCATTTCTGAGCTCTGATGTTTCTTTTTTCCACAGACATGAGACTGAATTTGGTATTAGCTGTCACTCTGATGTCCATCCCCATGGCACTTGTGCAAGGGGCTGAAAGGAAAAAACTACAGATTGGAATCAAGAAAAGAGTGGACAACTGTCCTGTAAAGTCCCGAAAGGGAGACGTGTTGAACATGCACTACACTGTAAGTGTCTGAATGTTCTGACCTAAATATTATTCATGGCAAAAAAAAATGTCGTCTTCTAACTGTCTGTTTTTATCTGCAGGGGAAACTGGAGGATGGGACAGAATTTGACAGCAGTATACCGAGGAATCAGCCCTTCACCTTCACTCTTGGCACGGGACAGGTCATCAAGGGCTGGGATCAGGGTTTGTTGGGGTGAGCGGCAGCACTACTGCGTTTCTAGATAATCTGAGATTCTGTGTCATACATCATTCAGGATTAGTATTTAAAGAGATGAACCTAACATTAGTCTAATAAAGAGGGATTAGCAGATTAGATTTAAGAGCCATTGTGAAACTCTGTTAGATACCGTATATTAGCATGTGTTGATGCTGTGGCCAAGTGGTCTGCAAACTGTCTAGAGTGTGATAGGGTTCAAGTTTGACATATTCCTTTTGTCTTTACCTTTGATTTCCTGTCATATCTTTGATGTCTCGATTTATAAAAAGACTATTTAGCATATGATGTTCCTTCTCTTAACTCTTAGGATGTGTGAGGGTGAGAAGAGGAAGCTGGTTATTCCCTCTGAGCTTGGTGAGTGTTACGGAAATGTAATATGTTCCATGAGTTTCAAAATCTATGAAAAATGTATGATTTTTAGATCATATTTTGAAATATGTGAAATATGTTCAACTACAGGTTATGGCGACAGAGGAGCGCCACCTAAAATTCCAGGTAAGATGATTAACAACCCTTCCTTTAGTTCTTAACATTGAGTCTGATATCAAGCGCGTTAATATTATATAGTTTTCAACACTAAATGAAAAATGAAAGCTTGATTTGTTAGGGATCCATAGAAGGTTATTCACTTTGACTTAGTATTGGTAAAATATTTGGACACTTAAGCTGCTCTTAAAAATATATGAATTACTTTGTACTCTATATAAAGAAAATTTCAGAAAATGACATTGATATTCAAAAATATTTAGCTTCATTTGTTTGCAGATGCCACTTAGTTTGATGTTTTGTGTACACAGTGACATTTATATACTTTTAAGTGTGGCTGAAGGGCCTCAGCAAACTTTCAAGAGGGCTGCAGGATGACTTTCAAATGAATATATACTTGATGCAATTAATATTCATAATATTATTAATAAAAACATACCTAATTAAAATGCTTCCCAAGGAATAGTTTCTGTTTGTTCCCCAGTTTATTTAAAAAAACTGCTTTGTCATAATTATAGCGATACTGGCAGAAATATCTTACCTTATATGGGAGAGGGGCTTTGAAAATTGAAGTGCTTGACAATCCAGTCCAAAAGGTTGAGAACCACTATATATACTTGTACCACATTGTCTCATTTTGCAAATCTCTGTTTTCCCACTAGGTGGTGCCACACTCATCTTTGAAGTAGAACTGTTGAGCATTGAGAGAAGATCTGATTTATAGTGACAGATTTGTGGGGCTGTCAGTCTTAAAGGGATAGTTCACCCCAAAATGAAAATTTGATGTTTATCTGCTTACCCCCAGGGCATCCAAGATGTAGGTGACTTTGTTTCTTCAGTAGAACACAAATTATGATTTTCCAGCCGTTGCAGTCTATCAGTCGTATAATGCATGGCAATTGTAACAAAATCTATGAGTAAAAAAAACATGCACAGACAAATCCAAATTAAACCCTGCGGCTCGTGACGACACATTGATGTCCTAAGACACGAAACGATCGGTTTGTGCGAGAAACCGATCAGTATTTATATCATTTTTTACCTCTAATACAGCACTATGTCCAACTTCCTTGAGCGTAAACATCAAATTTTCATTTTGGGGTGAACTATCCCTTTAAGCATTTAAAATCAGTGTTTTTGCAGCAAGATTAATGACTGCAGCTGCACACTTCACTGCTGTACTAGTGTGTCAAACTTCAGGTGTCAAAAGGAGAGTCTGAAAACGCTATCATTTATTCACCGTCTTGTCATTCCAAAACTGTATGACTTTCTTTCTTTGGTAAAGCATACAAGAAAATATTTTGAAGAATGCTGGTAGCTAAATGGTTTCTGTTCCCATTGACTTCCATTGTTTGGACCAAAAAAAAAATATATATATATAATGCAAGTCAATGGAACTGAAGATTCTGAATATTCTTCAAATTATCCTCTTTTGTGTGACATAGAAAAAAGTCCTACAAGTTTGAATGACAATTACTGGGAGTACATGACAGAGCTTTCATTTTTGGGTTGACTATCCCTTTAAAGACCTTTTTCAGATATCCAGAAGGTTACAGAAAAAAATAAGCTCTGTAATGACACTTCCATTTTTTTTTTTTTTTTAATGTTTCCACTTTCAAAAAAAGAATGACAGCTTTTCAGACATGTATGTAGCACCATTCTTTATTTGAGAGCCTTACTACACGTATTTGGTTGTGAGAGTGCACAATATAGGTTCTGCCATTCCAACAAGTTCTGATCATTAACATTTGTATTTATTAAATCTTGTTCACTTGAAATTGAATAAACGTTTTATTTACAAAAGATATGTGGGCTTTGAGCTTCATTTAGCATTAACCTTGGCCTACACTACCAAAGCATTTTCATTCTTAGCCTTCATCACAATTAGGCATACTCTTCATTTTTGTAAAGATTAGTAAAAATATCAGATGTAACAAATTGGCAAATTCACTCTATCGATATTGCTACTCTTCATCCTCAAACTAGTTTACATTTTCCTCAGTCTAATGATTTTTAAAAGCAGTAGTACTAAACACAGACCTGTGTTTTTTTCCCTAAAAATGGTAGATTAAAAATGGCTTACAAAACACAAGTTCACAATTCTCATCCCCCCCCCTCCCTCTTCCCGCATTACATCAACACACCCCGAAACCTGAAACCCCACATCTAAAAACTATTTTCTGGCCTGCAAAAAATTATTCCGCCCTTACGAAAGACAGCAGATGTGAGAGACCGACAAAAAAGGGGGTGAAAAGAAATCAGCTTAATTTCCTACTCGATTACAGACAGACACATCAAGCCAAGTCACGTGGCTGAAAGAAGTGTATTAGTGAACATTGTAACCGTATCATCAACCATTTGATTCCTTTCCCTAAATCACCACGGGAGTTTTAAGCTAAAGGGACACTACCACACTCTCTACATGTAAGATATGCTGAAATAGTACTAAGACGAAGTAAAAACAGTTTGTAGTGTTCAACCTGCAGCTGAGATCGGCTTGGCTGGACTCGTATCATTGATTTCCATTTGACAGACGCTGTGGTTTAGTGGTTGGGTCTGCATGCCTGCATCTCTCCTCTGGGTTTGGAGTGACAGGTTGGTTTTGTGGTGGTGGGAGGAGCTGTGGTGACGTCATGGCGTCAGCTCCCCTTTCTTCTGCGGGGTGCTGAGTTTCTGCATCCCTCGGACCTTCTCCAGCAACGCCGCTACGAAATCCTGCCAATGGCCAGAGCGAGAATTATGGCAAGAAAAAGCATATTTCTGTCCAGAGTGTGATTAAATGAAGCATAATCGCATTGTAATGAGTGACTCAGTGGCTCTGAGAATATCATGACCGCCTGTAATGAAGGTAATTGCTAATGCTATTAATGTTCAAAATGGCACTTACATCATTAGGCTTATAACAGTCGACCAGCAGCATCTGAAAACAAAATGGAAAGAGAATTAATGCCTTTCAGACTAATCTGCTGTTTTTCCAACTGTGTACCTATGAAAGCAGAAAGCTGACGCAAAACGTTGAAATAAATCTCCGGCTGAAAATTCAGTCTTCAAAAAGAGCTTGCGAGCTGAAGGATTACTGTCAAAGCACCTGCAGATGAAATGTCAGATGGGTACCACAGCACATTTCGGTCTTGTGGGAACGTTAATATTCTTACGAGGAGATATCTAAAGCGAACAGAATCAAGTAAATGTATTAAAGATCTGATTAGACCTTCACTCGAATGGCTCTCTCGACATCACTGGACAGATCCAGCAGCTCATCCACATCTATTTCCAGCTCAGGCACCTCATCCTCCTGCAAAATACAGAACCACTGATGAGAAGAGATGTTAATGGGGACTCCTGTGGAAAAAATAGTCAAAGTGAATAATTCACAAGCTACAGAACGGCGGTCAGATCATGAACTGTGTAGACTAGTATGAGGTGAAATCAATCAGGCGAACATCTCTTGATCCCACACTCTCCCACAAATGTGCAAAAATTGTACAATGGTTACAACAGCTTGTCACAAGGGACAACTTTGTACCTTATATACCACTGAGAGGTGCATGTTGGTACTTCAGAGTAGCAATGAAAAAATGAAAATGGTCATTTACTCACCTTCATGACATTCCAAACCTGTACGACTTTTTTTTTTTTTTTTGGCAGAACACAAAAGAAGATATTTTGAAGAATGTTGGTAACCAAACATGTTTGGTTGCCATTGATTTTATTGTATTTTTTTGTCCATATAATGGAGGTCAATGGGAACCGTTGGGAACTGGTTGCCAACATTCTTCAAAATATCTTCTTTTGTGTTTCACAGAAGAAAGAAAGTCATACAGGTTTGAAATGGCATGAGGGTGAGTAAATGGTGACAATTTTCATTTTTTGGGTGGACTATCCCTTTAAGGTAAACCTTTTAGTTGTAGATAAGATACAGAGTTGCCCCACAAGCTGTTGCACTCCTAAAGGTACCATTTTTGCATACTTTTTTTTTTTTTCTTTCTGAGAGCAGAAATCCAGCTAACCCTGGCCTTTGTGCATGACATCCTCTCTGCACAACAGGATGGGCTGATCCACACAATGCTGTCTGATAGCTTCTTAGATTGAGACACAGTAAGTGACTGGAAGCACAACCACAGCTTTAGCCTCTGCTGTGTAAAACCCCAGGATTTGTATGTCTTATTGCAGCTAGTTTGCAGTCACACTCCTTTTCATCAAAGATTCACTCTCATTTTGCTGTTCCTGCAGTGCTATTAAGCACCATTAGTGATTTTATATGTGCTGAGGGAGATGGGGGAGGAAAGCTGCTGTGGAAGGAACTGTCACATGTTTTTCTTCAAGTGTATGTGCTATTGCAGACATTAAAAAAGCAGGTCTGTTATAAAACCCTTCACACTGACCCATATTGTAGAGTCCCTCCACAGAGCACACCACAGCTGACCAAAGCCTTTCCAGAGGTGCTACTCATAAACACCTCCTCTTGCATCTATTAATGCAGCACTTCATAAACCAGTAATGGGACTGAGAAGTGCATAATATTGGCTCTTTAGAATATTTACTTCTAACTGATCAATCATGGTATTCTGTGGTCAAATCAGGGCTCAGTAATGACAATGGCCAAGGCCTATTGACATCTTTGTACCTTATTTTCCACTAAAGGATGCATATTAGCACCTCTTCCATTATGGAATTTTGTGTTTATGAATTCATTGCTGTCATACAGTTACAATATAAAACAATTTACAACCAATTTCCTACATAAATTATTAAATATACACTTTAGTTCAAAAGTTCACACAAGGGGTCACTAAGAGTCTTCTGAAAGAAATTAATAACTTTATTCAGCAAGGGTTAAATTGCATTAAATTGATCAAAAGTGACAGTAAATACATGTATCATGTTACAAAGTATTTATATTTCAAGGCTGTTCAAATTTCTATTCATCAAAGAATCCTGGGAAAAAATGTATCAGTTTCCACAAAAATATTTAACATTGATAGTAATACATTTTTCTTGAGCAGCAAATCAGCATATTAGAATGATTGCTGAAAATTCATGCTCATCACAAGAATATATTACATTTTAAAATAATACAAATTAAAATAGACAACAGTTGTTTTAAATTGTGATAATATTTCAAAATATTACTGTTTTTACTGTATTATAGATCAAAATAATTCAGCCGTGGTGAGCATATGTGTAATAGGCTTTTCAAAAACATTTAAAAAATTCTTTCTGACCCCAAACATTTGAAGGGTAGTGTATGTATTTCATGTCAGTTTATTTATTTATTTATTTAAGTAGTCACTCTGCATCAGCGTCCTAATCACCCAGTTTATTTTGTGATAATGACCGGTACATTATCCATCACATATTATTCCTTTCACTGCTCTACAGTACAGTTACATTTAAATAACATGAGCTCAATGAGAAGATGTACACCTGACTGGAAAACACAGCCATTAAAGGCACACAATATTCTCACAAATCTAATCATTTAACAAAATCACATTTAAGCCAAACTTTGTCCATGCTACTCTGAAAAAAGACCATAACTTGTTCATATTAGGTTATGTAATTTGTCAGTGTACATGGTTATCCTCTTAGGTACAAACATTTATCTTCAGTTTTTGCTGAGGGCAGTTGTGATTTAAGATGTGCATTCTAAACATCAACCTAATTGGACCAAACGTTGCTGAGACTAGCAGTATAATGGACGAGTTCTCTTGTTCAACCACATTATTATACAAATAACCTGTGGG